ATAGTAAAGACTGCGGGTGTTGGTTGCAAAGGGGCCTGGTTGAGGACAGTGTTTCTCAGTGCTGTCATGGACCAGCTGCATCAGGGTCATCTGGAATGTTTTAAAAATCACAGATATGTGAACTTTACCTCCAAATCTATCGAACTGGACTCTCTGAAAGCAGGTAAAACCTGTTGCCGTAACCGGTTTGGCTCAGTGGATGGAGCATCGGCCTGCGGACTGAAGGGTCCCAGGTTCGATTCTGGTCAAGGGCATGGTTGCGGGCACATCCCTGGCGGAAGGTGTGCAGGAGGCAGCTGATCGATGTTTCTCTCTCATCGATGTTTCTAACTCTCTATCTCTCTCCCTTCCTCTCTGTAAAAAATCAATAAAATATATATTTTTTTAAAAAACTGTCTTTAACAAACACCTTAGATTATTTACAGGCATGGCAAAGTTGAAAAGCATTTGATCAAAATAAAGGAGCATGGGTGGGTTAATGGTATAACGACTTAACAGACATAAAGTAAGAGGGCTTTGTAAGTAAAAGGGCAGCTGGGCATGCCCCAACCATTATTAACATTATTTCATATCATCTGGATTCCATTTGAGAAGTAGATGGTAAAATTTTGGTGGGCCTTCTAGGTCCAGGCAATGCGTTAGGTATGCTGAATGAAATCAAATTTGTTTGCTCAAATCAATTAATCCATCATCTATGTTTCTGGGCTTCTATGCTTTAGGATACTGAGTACCGTTAGAGAAAACTATAGGACCACACAGATCTACCACTACCAGTACGTGGTGTTCCCCTCATTTAAACCCTCTATGCCACTGGTTCTCAACCTTCTGGCCCTTTAAACACATTTCCTCATGTTGTGACCCAACCATAAAATTATTTTTGTTGCTACTTCATAACTGTAATGTTGCTACTGTTATGAATCGTAATGTAAATATCTGATATGCAGGATGGTCTTAAGTGACCCCTGTGAAAGGGTCGTTCGACCGCCAAAGGGGTCGCGACCCACAGGTTGAACATGCTGCCTGAACATTTTATAGTTTTTCAGCCTCTTTCATTATTTACCACAGCTATTACAAACGTTTTCCATTCTCCTCAAATATCCTACTGAACTGCCTCTACCTACTTTTTTTTTTACTTACTAGATAACCAGTTTATTATGAAAGGCTATAACTCAGTAATTACCAGATGGAAGAAATGTACAGGCAAGGACTGTGGGAAAGTGTGTGGAGCCAGCCACTCGCCCCAAATCTCCATGTGTTCACCGACTCCAGGGCTCGGCCATAACTCCTAGCAGATAAATTCAAATACTACTGCACTGAGAGCAGGAGACATGTAAGAAAGGACTCCTCAACTTCTTTCCACCCTCCCTACGACATAACTGGCTGTGCACCCGGTCTCATTACCCACCCGGAATCCTTCCAACCTGAGATCTCAGACAGCAGCAGCAGCAGCAGCGCCCCATCACTTGTTAGAAAAGAACCTCAAACCTCACCCAAATTACCGAGTCAGAATTTGCATCTTAACGAGATGATTCAGGTTTGAGAAACTCAGCTCAAAAGAGTGAGCACCCCTCATCCCTCCCTGCCTCTTTAAGTGCCTGACTTCATCAGATTTCCTTGTGTCTTCTCCACCTACAAATCCACTCTTTGTTGGGCTCTCTCAACAGCATTTAAACATGTTCTAGACTCTCCCATTCTAAATTAACAAACAAACCGTGTTTTAAAACTGTGCTGCTTTCTCCATCTTAATGTCTCTCACATTCATTCATTCCTCTCCATCGTCACTGCCATTTTCTGGTTGAGGCTACCATTTTTTCTTGCCTATACTGGCTTCTCTATAGAGTGTTGCTCCCTTCCAATCTTTTCTTTGCACAACCGCTAGAGTGAACATTTTAAAACACACATCTCGTCATGATATTTACTTAGAACCCTTCAGGACCCCCCTTTGCTTTAGGATGGAGGCCAAATGCCTTTGCCAGGCCCACCAGACCCTTCATGATACAACCCTGCCTTACCTCTCCAAACTCATGGCTCATTATTCCTCTCCACCCCATGCTACTGGGTAGGTATAGGAAATTGTTGGTAGTTTCCCAGATCCATATTCTTACTTGCACCCACTCCCAGTTGTACTGAAATGTTCTGCTTTCTTTTCTGGTTGACCAAATAGTTCTTAAACTTCCCTGCGTGCAGGGAACTGTCTTGGTCACCATTTGCACACATTAGCTTTTACACAATGTCTAGGATATAGTTGATGCCACAACAAATATTATTGTCTACCTCCTATGTCCCAAATGTCATGGAGCTCACATGATGGTGGACTCAATATTTACAGAATGAAAATAGGTTCTTAATTATTTCATATATGGGCTTATAGAGTTTTACTAATTTACCAGACATCACAGGGGGAAAAAAACATGTTTCCAAGGCTATTCTTGAGCTATGCTGGCTCCAAAGCTCATTTTGTTCCCATACTAACATATACAACTTCTACTCAAAGATGCTTTGTGAAAAGACAATAATAAGATGGTAATGAAAGAACTCCTCTAATACTTTGAAATGTTTTCTAGGTTATCATGGATTCCTGGCTTTTCTAAGTCATCTGTGGCTTATAACTAACTTTAAAATAGAAGCCTGAGGTTGTGTTTATGTAAAAGCAAAACAGTTGGTCAATTAAACCAGCTTAGTAGAAAGAAATAAACAATTGAATTTCTTGGAGGGACACCAGTTTTCTTTTTAAATAGTTAGTTGGCATCAAGGAGAGCATAGTCTTACACCCCAGAATGTCATTTCCTCTTTCCATTTGGACTTGAAATGTCAAAGTGTGGCTTTTCTTGTGCTTTGCTTACTCAAATCACACAAAAGATTAACTATAGTTCACAAGGACAGACACTTATAGAAGCCAGGTAAGTAAAGCAAATGAATGGAGATGGTTTTGTATAATAAATACAATGGCATACACATGTTGATAGGTGTATATTGTGGTGATTTTGAAGAAAAATCCAAGGCTATGGGAGGTGGAGGGAAGAGATGAGTGGAGAAATGGCTGAGCAAAAAGGAGAAAAGATTCTATTCTGGGAAAGCGAGCAGAGGAAGTAGAGAGTTTCGGTGGAGACTGATTCTGCCGGCTTCAGGATAAGAAGAAAACCCTCCTGGGGTGGCACGTGACTACAGCAACCGTCTTTAACTGGAGTCTGGGGTTGAGGGTGTTAACTCTGGGAGGAGTTTTCTCTCAGGTTGAGGAGAAGCAAAGGAATGGGTAGAAAAATCAACTTCTGTCTGGAACCAGTTATGTGAGTAGCTCATTAACACCTCCATACAAGCCACTTATCCCAGAGTCACACATTTGATAATGACCAGTCAACAACAGCCCCAGGACCAGGGAGTCATCACTGTCCCCCAGCACAGGGGCTGAGGGATAGACCGAACCTAGCCTAGATGCTACCCAGATATTTCTTTTACCTACAAGCAAGGCCCCAGAAATCTAAAAGGTGAAATTAAGTATCTACATGGTCTTATTAAAAACAAACAGACAAACAAAGAAACATTTCTTTTTTTCTTTTAAGCTTCATGGTATTGGGTTTTCTGGTGCTTTTGCTGGAAAAAGTCCTTTTTCACTTCTTTTAAATTTATAAAAAGTTGTTCAACCTTATTCAAAACAAGAGAAACAAGTTAAAATGGAAAGTCATACCATTTTTTAAATCTATCAGATTAAAAATTAAAACATTCAACAAGCTGTGAGGATCAGGCACCCTCATACACTGCTGATGAGATATGGTAGTAACAATGTTTATGAAAGGCAAAATAAAGTTAAAATAAACTGTAAACTTTTATCCCAGCAAATCTACTTGCAGAAATTTATTCTACAGGTGTACTTACACTTGTGAAAAACAAAACATGCATACGGTTATTCATTGCAGTATTGTTTGTAACAATAACAGATAGGAATTAATCTCTTGAGAGATATGAATAAGCCCATCAAGAGGTTAAATGAAGTATGGTACATCCATATGGTGGAATATTATAAAGACGTTAGAAAAAAGATTCAAGAATATTTATTTTGATGTGTAATATTCTAAGATAAGTTGTTTTATGAACCAATTCATTTTATGCTGTCATTTGTATACAAAAGAATATACACTCGTATATATGTAAGTCTCTGAAAAGATATGCAAGAAACGATTGAGTCATTACATATTTGGGAAGCAGACATGGGGACTTAGCAGATGAGGAACAAGTTTGGAAGGGAGAATTTTTGTTTTACTGAATATCCCTTTTTTTCTTTTGGAGTCCTATAAGTATATTACTTACTCAAAAAAATAGTAAATTGTTTTTAAAGAAAATAATAGAATTCTAACTAATTCATTAGAACTAAGTGTATGTGCAGGGATCCTGGCACTGAAGACATATGTTGTTTTATCAGGCTTCTTCCACCTTCTAGAATTTCTGGTCTGTTGCAGTTCTGAAAGATCAGGGCTGCAGTGTTCAGAAGATAGTCTATGATTAAGGTGGCCCCTACAGGATGAATTGGGAATTTTTTGTTACTTTGTTCCTTTTTAGTGCAGAAGAGGTTCGAAGTTGGTTGGGAATTGTGACCTTGGATTTCTCTGTTGCTAGACATAAACGTTTTGATAATTACTGACGTAAGCACTGCAAACAGCCAATTTATAGAGAGAGGAGGCTGGGATGGCCGTGTGCTGAAGAAGGAAATACATGTGCTTGAATCCTGACGCTCTCCCTGTCATTCCTTTATGACTTTAAGGCAAAGGTCCCTAACTTCTTCCAGCCCTGGTTTCCTCATTTGAAAAATGTAGATACTATTGCCAACCTTGTGAATGTGCTGCTCATTAAAGGTTTCTTTAAAAACTCAGAGCTCCATCGCTTCTCGGCCTTTTGGCTAAGATCAGGTGTAATATCTGTTCTTATCAGTTTAAAAACTCAGAGCTCCAACAAGTCAGTGGTGTTAAACCCTTAAGGTAATCCCAGGTCCCCAAATTCACTCCAACAGGAAGTGAGCTACTAAGGACCCCCACCCAACAAAGACCACCTCAAACAAAGGAAATCTTTCTGGAGAAAAGAAGAATGGCCAGATTATATCATCAAGCAACTCTGGGACACAATGTGGGGGATGTTCTAGTCACCACTGTGTGTTTCCCATTTTCTATGTTTTCAGTGGAGTTTTTATTACAGTTCTATTGTCCTTTCTCTGTGAGTAGTTTGTGTATTGATTAAGGGTGATTAATATTTTGATTTACTATAAATTGCTACAATACTTTGAATATTTAATTGGAAAAAGTTCAGAACTTTTTTGCTAATGTTGGAGCTGTGAGGTTATGACCCTGAAACTGCCTATCTAAGATAAAGAAATGTTGAGTGTTGGGGAGATGATGGGGTGGGGGGGGAGAAGAGGAGAGAGATATTTTGAAATGCAAGAACACTCATGTCCAGCTATGTGAATAATACATTTCTTCTTTTTACTTCAGCCACTGAGTTGGATTTTGTAACCCTTGCAACTGAAAAAAAAAAAAATCTTAACTAGCTACACTAGGTCTTCATTCAATGAAAAGATACTTAACCTAAAATATCTCTCACACTGACATATCAGTTTTCAACTGTCAGATGTCTTAATAACTCACTATATGGAACAACTCATGAAGAAGTAGGAATTATCATATTTTGTTAGTCAAAGTGCTAAAACGATACAATCCATGTGGTAGGTATCAAAATTGCAAATGAATTTACCTTCAGCTTAACAATTTTGCTTCTAAGATTTATTCCACAGTTAAACTTGTACACGTAAAATGAAGAAACATTTATTCATGACAGCATTGTTTGCAACAGTAAAACATTGCTGTAAATGTTTAAGGGTCTGGATAAATGAAAAATATGGCTCATCACAGAGGAGAATGTGTGAAGCTGTAAAAAAGAAGGAACAATTGTATTTGTGCTAATATGGACATATCTCTAAGACAATGCTGTTAAGAGAAACAATTTTAAGTGCAGATATTTGTGTAAAATGTTTGTATAAAAATAGGGGGGAGAACGAAAATATCTTTTCATATTCGTTTGTATGTATATGACTACCTCAGAAAAGATAGGAAATAAACTGAGCGAAATAGTTATTCGCTGGGTAGGGGCACTGGAACATGTGATTTAGTTAAATAGATTGGGAGGGAGATATTTTTTACTGTATATCATTTTACTTTATTGTATTAAATTTTTTGGAAGGATATAAACTCTTTACCGATATTTTCAATGTATACTTTCTAACGAAAAACACCATTACCACACAGTGAAGTTCCAGAATTCTGAGTTGTGTGTGGGATGCCGGCGTTGAAATGTCAGCCGAATACCCTGCACAAACAGGATTTCGACCATCTTCTAGAATCTCAGCTCCAGGGAGCTGTGTGGCGCAGATAAAAAAGAGATAGCCCAGGGCAGTGGCGGCACCTGGAGGACACACAGAGAACTTTCCGTTTGTTCTTTTTTTTCTTTTAATGTTTGTTTTTCTGCTGTAAGGCTTGAATAAGAGTGGTGCTTGGTTTTCCATGGAGTGCCTGAACAGAAGCATTTTGCTAATTAATCACTGTAGATTTACTGTCAGATATCCCTGGATACAAATACTGTCCCTTTCAATTACTGTCTGTAGCTTTAGGCAAAAGCACTTATATGTTTTAAAAGCCAGGGTGTCTTTACTTATAAAAGGTGAAGAATAATAATACCTACCTATCATGTTGGTACCTCCTAATATGTTTAGTGAATTGTGTCGCCTAAAAAACACCAGTTCTGACCTTCAAAGTGACCTGTGTTTGCTCAATGCCTAAGGCAACCCCAGACCTCTGAGCCTGCCTCAATAAGAAGCGAGAGATTAAATAAATGGGGCCCACAGAGGGGCAGGGAGGGTGCCCACCTGGGGCTGGAAGTCTGGCGCAGGTGAAGGGAGCCAGGAAAGAGGAAGAAAGACTGGGTGCTAGTGAGAGAGAGAAAGAGAAAGCCAGCAGGGCTTGAGGGTACCCAGGCCGGAAGATCTGAATTTACCCCTGACTTTTCAGTGTAAAGACTATAAATATATTTTTCTAAAAGCCAGATTGAGAGGTGTCTTTTTGTTGTTGTTGTGATTTTTTTTTCTTGTAATTGAAAGACCCCTAACCATTTCCAATGCCTCATATAAAAGTTACTCAACCTCACTCATAATAAAATGAATTTAAAACGAGATAATGTTGCTCAGCTGGTGTGGCTCAGTGGTTGAGTGTCAACCCATGAACCATTTGTTTGATTCCTGGTCAGGGCACATGCCCAGGTTGCTGGTTTGATCTCTGGTAGGGAGAGTGCAGGAAGCAACTGAACTGTTTCTCTCTCCCCCTTCCTCTCTCAGTGCTTTTCTCTCATCACTGATGTTTCCATCTTCCTCTCCCTCTCCCTTTCTCCCTCTGAAATCAATTCACACACACACACACACACACACACACAAGACCCCCAAGATAGCTTATTATATTGACAAAAAAAGAAAATTAACATTGATCAGACACTAAGCTGTGGGGGAAACATTTGATTTCATTGGTGAGAGTGAGAGATTAGCAATCCCTAAAGAAGGCAAATGAGACATATTTATTAAATTGCAAATTCATGCAGCCTTTGACCCAGCAATTACGCTTCTGTGTATTTTGTCCCATAGATATATACCCACACACGCGAAGTGAGGCATTGTTTGGAAGTGCAAACAATAGGAATCAACCTAAATGTTTTATCACAAGAGAATTGGCTTTCATTCACACCGTGGGGGATTCTAAATCCCTTAAAATAAGTAAGTTTTCTTAGGAACTGAAAATGGAAAGCTTTGTAGAAAGAGAACCCAAATAAAGGAACAGAGAAGAGTAAATAGCATTCACTGGCATTAAAACTGACGGGGGAAGGAATCTATCTTCATATTTAGTTGCAATTGTATTAAAATCTCTGGAAGAATAGATAAGAAAATGAAAGACCATCATATAGGTTACATAGAGAAAATTGGTGGATAAGGGACAGGGATGGAAGGAGATTTTTTTCAAATAAGATTTTTTGGGGTACATTTTAATTTTTGAACCTTGTAACTGTATAACCTATTCAAAATTGTGATAAATACAGTGGTCAGGAGAAAAGAGTCCTAACATAAAGTGGAGCGGTGGAACTCGAAATCCATCAGGAGGGCTCCTTATACTAAATTTTACGCAGACTGGACGCCATCTTCTAGAAATCCTATTCTTTTCCAGCCTTGCGAATCAGCTGCGGAGACGGAAATAGCCTGTGGTTACAGCGGCACCTATAGGACAAACAGAATATTTCACTTTGTTTTTTTGAGCTTGGGGAGGAGCAGGGAATCAGGAGTTAGTTAGCAGGGCATGGGTGAAGAACGGTTATTTTTCCCATCAGAGTTGCTAGTTTTTGCAAACATAATTTTTCATATAAGCATACTGAGAGCTTAGGCCTTAGAGCTAAACACCCTGATTAATAGTGGCTTTGTCACTCACTCATTGTTACTCCCCAGCTGTGTGGCCTTAGCTAAAGGAACTTAACATTTCTGAGCCAAAATGTGGAATATGTTATCTATGTTGCAGATTAATGCTTCACAGCGTTTCAAGAGACTTATCTTGCCAGAGAAACCCCAAGTCTGACAAACAACAGCCTGTGATCATCCAACCCTTAAAGCAATTCTAAACACCCTAAGTCTATCCCAATAGGAAGAGAGCTGCTGAAGAGATATAACCCATAGAAGGAGCCTCCTTCTCCAAAGCCTACAGCTCCTGGGGCCATGGAAAGACAGGACAAAGGAGATCCTTCCAGAGAACAAACCGGACCAGCCAGGTTGGCCACGGAGCTCACATTACCTGCAGGGCAGGGACACCTTGCTCTTCCCATCCTACCAAAGACCACCTTATGGGTTCATGGACCAAAGACCACTTTAGGCTGTTTTTCATTTTCCTTCTTACCAAATGGAAGTATTGTCATTATCCTGCCCTTTCTCTGTCCCTTCAGGTGTGTGTTATAGTTATACTGGAACCATAGGTTGTGGGGCCACAAGGAACCACATCAGAACCTGACCAAGAAGACTGCGCATCACTCAGAGATCTTGAACTTGGAGCAATAACCAGATGAGTCACTCTATAGTCACCCTCTGGGGAAGGGGTGATTTTTACAGCATGTCATTATAGCTTCATTACAGTTATGACCTGGGTTCTTTAAGGGACAGGTAAGAGGAGAAGGGTACGTGTGTGGATGTTGAGCTGGCAAATGGGTGCATTCATTATGGCACAGTCTGCCGCTCACCAGCCAGTGCCGGTCCATCCTTCTTCATAGCAGAATCCCCTCTCACCCAGTCCATCTAGTCTGAGGGATTTCAACTCTATCACATGACTCAGGCCTGACCAATCAGAGCACTGCCTCCCCTGTCCAATGCAGGTCAGTGAGAACTGGGGTGATCGAAGACTGTCTGAGATAAAGCCAAGAAAGAAAGAAGCTGAAGCAAGAGAGGGAGAGGGAGCAAGCAAGGGGGCAAGATAGAGAAAGAGAAAAAGAATGAGCAAGGGGAAAATCACAGGCCTTGGGGACATTTAAGCCTTTAGATGTAAGGCCCATTGGAAATTCTACTTCTGCCTCCAAACGTTTTGTCATGGAAACATACAGTGTATCTTCTGGCTGATGCCATAGAGTTGGACTTTCTATCACTTGCATTTAAAATGATTCTAACTCATTCAATTGGCTCTTAAGCCAAAAGACGCTCAAACTCACATAATAAGAAAGATAAACAGTTAAATTGAGATGCCATTATTTTTCACTCTCATTTGAATGGCAAAAATCCAAAACACACTGTGTTGGCCAAGTTGTGGAGAAATAGACAATTTCATACATGGCTGGCGGAACATAAGCTGGTACAAGCCCTGTGGAGGGCAATTTAGAAATGCCTAGAAATATCACAAATGCATGTATCCTCAAATATTTCCAAATATATTCACATGCATAAAATGAACTATATATGACTACTTATTTTAGCAGTGATTTTCATAGTAAAAATTGACTTAGGTATTCATCAGTAGAGAACTGAACTGATAAATTTTGGTTGCATCCATAAAGTAGGAATACTCTGAAGTTAAAAGAGAGAGAATTATACCTACTCTTATGCAAGATATAGTGCTAGTACATGGAATAATCAAGATGGAGAAAAATGTTATAGTACACTATCATGTAAAATAAAGGAAGGTGGTTTAAAAGCATTTCTTGTATATGAATAAAGCATACTCTGAAACTATAAAAAGCCTAATAACATTGGCAAGTTTTGGCATGGACTTAGTGAAATGAACATTTTTTTTCACTATATTCTTTTTATGCTTTTTGTTTTTGAGCCATATGAATACACTACCTTTCAAAAATTAAATGAATTAAAAATGGAAAATGCCCTAACTAGGACCCAGGAGCTACAGAATGATAAAGAAAGGTTATGGGTGCCGGCACTGAACTGCATTAGTTACAGGAGCTGGCTTCTTGCATCTTCTAGAACGTCTGGTCTACTGTACCCCTGAGAGATCTGTGCTGAAAAGCTGGAAATAAATATTCTATGAGGAGCATGGCACCTGCAGCACAATGTGAGAATTTTTCTGTGGTTTTTTATTTTTCATTATTTTTTTCTGACTGACATGTAGGAAGGGCAGTGAGCATGAATTTCCCTCTAGAATTGCTAGATATGAAAGTTTTGCTAGTAATAATAAAGATATTGCAAACAAAAACTTTTTTTATATAAGGTACATGGGGAAGCAGTGTGAATAGAGAGGTAGAGGCAGAGTTACAAATATTGGTGTTGTCACTGCCCAGCTGTATGTCTTTAGGCAATGTCACTTAACGTTGAGCTATAGATTCTACATTTAAGAAATGAAGACAATAATACCTTCAGGCTTGTTGCCTCCTAAACAGTTTTAGGGACATTCACTGCCAGGGAAACCTGAAACCCAACAAGCAGTAGCCTGCAACAGTTCAGTCTCTGAGGCCATTCCAGGGCCCCCCTAGTCCTTCAGGGAATGGGGGGCTAAACAGAGGCAACCCAAAGAAGGGGCACCCTTGCCAAAGATCCCCAAAAGGATCCATGGAAGATAAAGGAAGACAGAGAACCTTCAAGGGTGGCCACATTGAATGACTAATGAGCTCACATCACCCAGGCTGGGGACTTAGTAAGTGTTTGAGGCCAGAGACCACTGTGGGCTGTTTCCTGTCCTCCTATTTTCCAAGTGGAAGGTTTTATTTCAGTTGCCATTCCCCCTCTCCATAAGTGTAGAAAGGGAGTGTGGTTTTTATTTAAACATAGTTTGCTGTACTATGAGAAGCCATATTAGGACCCAACCAGGAAAATTCTGGATTGGAGCAATAACTAAGTGTATTTATGAGTTTGGGATTTTGCTTTTTTTTTTTTCATCTGGGCTGTGTGGATAAGCAGTTTTTATTGTGAGTAGTGCAGCTGTATTATATGGATATGGTCATCTTTGAAGATACATGCATGGGTAGAGGGTATGTAGTCCTATGACTCAAATCTGGGCAAATGGAGCAGTACATTCTCCTGTGTGTGGTGATGGTTCAAGGGCAGGTACATGATTCAACTGAAGTCACTGAGAGTCAGGCCTTGGTCTTCACACTGAACTTGCAGCTTTAAGGATGAAAGTCTGGAGCTGCCTGGGGCCCCTATAAGAGGGAAATGGTGAGAATGGAGCCAAACAATGGGGAAAGGAGAGAGAGAAGAGCTGGGCTTGGGCTTGATGACACCCTTGGAGGCCTTGTATCAAGTGTGTCTCTATATATACCCACTGACCTTCCTTCTATGGGACTGTTATTTTTTTCTCTGTTGCTAAAACCAGATTAAGTTGAGTTTTCTACCACTTGTATGTAATGACTTCTTACTATATGGAAAGATGTTATACCCCCTCATAAAAAAGACATGCATGATAAAACTACACAGAGATAACACTTTTCACCTACTGTATTGACAAAAATCCCAATGTTTGATAGAAAATGGTTGGACAAGCTATGGTGTAAGGGCATTCATACACAGGACTGGATGGAATGTAAATTGCTATGATCCCTCATGGGGGAAGCTTAGAAATTCTATGAAAAATTATAAATGCATCTATCCTTTGACCCAGAAAGTCCACGTCTATGAATTTTATATATATACTCTTGTACCAGAGAAAGACCAATGTTCTATTTCTCCACCCCATTTCAATTTTCAGTCCTTTTGTGCCACGCTGTGTGGTCCAGGAAGCTGACCTTTATCTTGTGTATCACACAGGTTCCTCTACCCTCTGCTTCTTTTTAGGTTGAGTTAACTGAAGGATGCAACACAGCTGGAGATTGAAAGGGGAAGGAAAAGAGAGGTCAAGAGATTTATTCCACTGACTCCTGCCTTAACAGGAGTGATTCTAGAAGAGGGTTTGTTTCTCTACCACCACAGTGTCTCTACCACCACAATGTCTCTACCACCAATGTCAATTGACTATTTCAAGGGTTATAGCCATCACCAGATTTTATTGACACCAATTCTTCCCCATGTGCAAGCAGGCCAAATGCTGGTAACAGATTTCCGCTGCAGCTAATTCCTGGGTGTTTACCATCCCTTTTCAATTCCCTTGGCCTTACCCATCTGTGATGGTTAATTTTATGTTTTAACGTGTCTGCGCCACAGGGTGCCCAGGAATTTGGTCAAACATGATTCTGGGTGTCTCTGTGAAGGTGTTTTTGGGTGACATTAGCATTTAATCAGTAGACCGAGTAAAGCAGATTGCCGTCTATAATGTGGGGGAACCTGAGCAGAGCGGAAGGCCTGAGCAGAACGAAAGGCTGACCCTCAACCGCAGGTGAGAGAGGTTCTCCTGCCGAAGGTTTTCAAATTGAAGATCACCTCTTCTTGGTTCTACAGCAGCTTCTGACCTTCAAACTCGAGCTGGAACATTGGGTCTGCAGATTTACCAGCCTTTATATCATGTGAGCCAACTTCTTATTACATATACATATAGTTTTGTTTTTCTGGGGAACCATAACTAATACATTATCCCTCTTAAAACATTTGTTTTCCAGGGGGACCTTGGTATTGGTATAAAAAAAAATGGCCCAAGGAAGCAAACCCTCAAACTAGGATTCTGGGATTCCATTGCCCACGTCTTTGATAAGCTCACCGATACCCTCTGCCAGGGAAAGTAGGGCACTAGTAATCCATGATATGTAGCAATATCGTGATTACTCAAGATATCACTGGTGTAGGATGCAGTATAAGTGGATGGCAAGACATGATCTAACAAATATGACTCTTAATTGCACTGGTCAAAATGATTACAACTATGGCCAGGCTCCTCCTAACTGCCTTGGAGAACTTACTAAAAGAGAGGGGTGAGGATGTAAAGACTTGAACTATCAACTTAGTCAAATTCACCTGGGCTTCTAGTATTCAGAACTGTGAAATACTGACTAGGCAATGTTTAAACAACTAAGTTTGCCATAACTTGTTATGGCAGCAATAGAAAACTATACAAATTGTTGTTATCATTAGTAGTAAATAATAACAAAAAATACAATTGGGAACAACCTACATATCCATCAATAAATAATTGCATGTTGGTATGATAGAATGCTATGATGTTTTTTTAAAGAATGTATACAAGCTCTTTATGTGTTGTTATAAGAAGCTCCTGAATATATGTGAAACTAAATACAGGATAGCCAGTATAATATGCTGCCATTTGTGTAATAAAAGTAGGAGTATTGTGTATTTATATTTGTGAATATATGTGTATATAGACATTAAGAGTCTCCGGAATGATATAGGAGGCTAATAACTGTGGTTACTTATTTTAAAGGGTCATAAATAAAAACTGGCAGCTGGGAGCAACAGTGGGAGGTAGATTATTTATTATATACATTTTTATACACTTTGTGTTTTTTGAATCATGTAAGTACTCTCTACTCAAAAACTTAGAAATGCTTTTGTTTTAAAGAAAAAATATAATAATAAATACATATATTGGTGCTATAAAACTAAAACACAGGCATGAGTTTACCAAGTTATCCCTGGTGTAGGACACATACATTGACTTCTACTATCTAGAATTTCTGTTCTATAGCAGCTCCAAGAGATCAAAGCTAAAGAGCAAAAAAGAGATATTCTATGGTTACAGTGGCACCTGCAGGACAAATTGAGAATTTTTGTATATTGGTTTCCGGTGTTATTTTTTAAATGTTGATTTCCCAAGTGGAATTGGTAAGCAGAAAAGTTTTAATAATGACTGATGAAATTGTAAACAAAGATATATTTACACAAGTCACGCAGCAGGAAGTACAGAGTGTGAGGTAAATGTAGGTTGCAGAGCTTCATATTTTCTCCCTGTCACTGTAGGTAAATAAACCTCAGCCTCTCCGAGTTAGTTTCCTCCTGTGCACAAACCTGCCCCTTTGCGGAGTTGGTGTAGTATTAGAGAGAGTGCATGTAGTGGGTGGCATTTAGAACCTGGTTCATGGTCATTTTTCAATAGCCACGAACCAGTGTATACTCAATATACACGTTGAGTATCCCACAGTGTCACTGCACTCACTAGGCTGATGGTCCTATAAAACTCACCCTATTTCAACTCAACCCCACCTTGATGCATGTTCAGCTTTTCCCAACTTTCCACAAGCAAGCTCCTCACATCAAGCACGATTTCGCTTTCTTCAATCTCTTAATATCAAACCAGCACAGCCTCATCTCCCCACTGCTCAGGACACTCATGATTTGGGGCCAATTTTTTAAACTCTTGGTGGGTCTGTTTCATTTTTCAGGAAAAAAATGTCACAAGTTATGTTTACACATTTTTAAAACATGACACTAACGTGTATTTATCCACATCATGACATGACATTTTCTCCTCCGGGACTAAGGAAGCTTGAGCCTGACCTTTCTTCACCTTCAGAAGATAAAGGTTCGTTTGAGTCTCTGTCGACCTTATGCTTCCAGAGTGACGTGCCCCTGCATGTGACATGCTCCTGTTAGGCTAACGCAGAGTAGAATTTGAGGTCAAGTGCTGAAAGAAATTAATTAGTAATTTCAAGCTATGAATAAATTCAAAAGGTTTTGTAACTCAGTAGAAGGAATATTTTCAAGGGTAAAAACTAGACAGGCATGGTTTTTTAAAAATAATCCAATAAGCACTAGAAAATGGATATAAACCTAAACTAAAACCCTGCTTCCATGATGTTTAGACCAAGTAGAGAAGAAAAATGAGACAGTGAAGGTTGTGATGACTATGTTCCGAAGCAGTGCAGGATCCAGACAGAATTAGGAAAAAAACAAGGAAGAAAAAACCTTGTGTTTCCAAACAGATGGTGCTGCATATCATAAATATTGTGGTGCAGATAATGACCCAGGGGGTTCTGGGCCGGTCAGATGACACTCTAGTGGGGATTTCAACAATCCAGATGACGGGAATTATAGAGTGACTAGTCATGATTACTAAGAATTCTATGCTGTGGTGGCCATAAGATAGGCGCAAGCACAGAGTAATGAACACATAATTTGGCAAATAGATGGGTAATCTATAATATTGATAATTGCAAAATATTGCTAAAGAATTCAGACACCAAGTTGGAGAATTTAGAAACCACATGGCTAACTATGAGTACATGGATACCATGTTCCCTGATACTACTACAGTTCAAAACAAAGAGAGGGTTGACATTCAGACAGTCATCAGTGAAATGGATATTTACAGGATGGAAAATTAGATGTCCCACCCCAAACAACAGTTTAAGACCTTAAACCAGGGAAAGATCATAAGAAAGCAAAACACTACTGACGGAGCCAGGAGAGAGAGTGCAGACATAATGCACACATACAAAGCAAATTGTTGTTCAGACAAGTGTAAATGAAATGAAGATTAGAACGCCATGAGCCAGGATCTCCCCAGGAAAGAATTACAACTATGAGAGCAACTGAAAGTGCAGGGAGGCTGTCATGATGTCCCAGTTGAAATAAACACAGGCAGGACACAGGCGACTGAAAGATATGGAGAGAATTAATTTGCATACCTGAGTGGACTTGAGAGAATTAGGAATAAAAGTCATATCAATAAATCTGTTAGAAAAGACAAAGGAGACCTACAGTTTATTTTGGACATGAAAATAAATAGATTATACCCATCTTATGGACACGAGGCAGAAAAATAGACCACATAGGGATAAATGGCTGTCATGCAGTCCCAAACCAAAGAACCTGTCTATTCCAACAAAGACAGAAAAGGAATTGGCTGTCCCCATTAAAAAAAAAGAACGGGGAAAAGCTCAGACCAAGACTAAAAAAAAAAACCTGAAGCCCTAGTCCTGGCCAGGTGGCTCAGTTGGTTGGAACATTATCCTAATTACCAATGGCTGAGGGTTGATTCCCTCTCAGGGCATATGTCTACGTTTCAGTTTTGATCCTTGGTTGGGGCAAATATGGGAAGCAACTGATCTCTCTCTCTCTCTCTTTCTCTCTCTCTCTCTCTCTCTCTCTCTTTCTCTCTGATAATCAATAAGCATATTCTCAGGTGATGATTAAAACAAACAAAAAACCTAAAGCTCTAAACTAGAAACTTGGCATTCTTTTTATCTTCCCAGCACAGGAGATTTGCTCTACCTTATCTATTAAAATATAATTAAATAGAAAAGTTAAGATTATTAGATACAAGATTATAAATATCAGTAATTGCAGGAGAAATGCCCAAGTATGTATAAAGGAAATAGATAGGAAAGATTTACAATGTTAGGAAACACCACATCTATAGGAATCCCAGTAAAATGAAACCTAAGATGAGCTAGCTATGTGCCTATCAGAATTTATGAAGTATCCTTACTCTGAATGAAATGATGAAGTCCCCAAATATGGAATGAATTACTGGAACAGACATAATTTTAAAAAATTACAAGACCCTGGTTTGGCTTATTGGATAGAGTGTCAGCCTGTGGACTGAAGGGTCCCAGGTTCAATTCCAGTCAAGGGCACCTGCCCAGGTTGTGGGCTCGATCCCCAGTGTGGGATGTGCAGGAGGCAGCCGATCAATGATTCTCTCATCATTGATGTTTCTATCTCTCTCCCTCTTCCTTCCTCTCTGAAATCAATAAAAACATATTTTTAAAAATTTTACAAGATATTGGAGAAAGCAGAATCCATTGATCAGTGTATGTTTCTATTGGAAAGGCAGAATTGGCACCTGGGACATTTCTCACATTGGGTTGTGAAGTATATCTTTATTTCTTTGAGTAAAGTTTATTCTTTTTAAAAAATATGTTTTTATTGATTTTAGAGAAAGAGGGAAGGAGAGGAAAAGAGAGGTAGAAAGGTTGATGAGAAAGAAACATCAACATTGATTGGCTACCCTCTTCTGTCGACCCAGCCTGCAACCCTGGCATGTGCTCTAACTGGGAAACGAACCGTGACCTCCTGGTTCATAGGTCGATGCTCAACAACCAACCACTGAACCACACCACCCGGGCTAACGTTTATTCTTAAAAGATATATAGAGCCTTGGCCTGGTTGCTCACTAGGTTAGAGCTTTGTCCTGATATGCCAAAGTTCCGGGTTTGATACCCAGTCAGGGCATATTCAAGAAACAACAATGAATGCATGAGTAAGTGGAACAACAAATCTCTCTCCCTCAAAAAAAAAAAGGCGAAACAGCCCAGCCAGATCGTGCATGTGTATGTGTGTGTGTGTGCACGTGTGTGTGTGTGTGTGTGTAGTTCTATGAAATTTTATTTCTTGTATACATTTGAAAGGAGTTTTTAGGGATAAAATAGGCAGGTTTAGAAGGTTTAGGAATTAGGGGGTCCATGGAGACAACCATGGGGCTGCAAAGCTGGGAGCTGCCCCAAGATATACATTCACAGAACAGTAGAGCTGCAGAAGGTGTACACTCACAGAATAAAGGAAAGGAATCCACTCGTCCAGAGAGGGAAGAGGAAGGCCAAAGGGAATAGAAAAACAGTAAGAGAGAAGGAGCAGGGAACTTCATGTGAGGCTTGAGATCTGAAGCTGCTATAGTGACCAATCAGGGGGGGATATTGTTACAGAAAACCAAAGAAAAATCAAGCCATGCTTAGAGAAAGGGGGAGTTACATTTTATTATTAAATTCTGCGCAGGCCCAGAGAAAAATGTGTCTTTCAAATTCTGCCCGCTCCCCGCCCCCCCCAACATGGAGGAAACTCTCTCTATTTATACTTTTTCCAGTCCTTTGTCTCCCAAATTTGGAATGAGACTTCTGGGCCTTCTGAGAAAGAAGACCCGTGTGCTGGGAAGGGGCCATGAGACCATATCTCAAGGCCTGGCCTGGTGTCAGCACCATTGGTCTGACTGACTAAGTCTGGGGCATAGTTTATGGCCTCTCTGGAATGGGAGTAGTCTTATTATTTAAGCAAGCAAGTGTTTACAGAAGCTAACATAGCAGGGTTAAAATTTCAAACAGCAGTTTTTATGTAAGATGGATGCTTCAATATCAAGACTCAAAGAACTGCAGCCTTTATAAACCTAAGAAAGAGGGACTTGGTGGGACTCTCTCCCTGTCCCCATGTGGGAGTCTGTGCTTGTTTCTCAATAAATTTCCACCTTTTCCTATACCACCTTTTGTCTGTGGCTTCATACTTTGAATCCACCTAGACAAGGACCCGGGAGGCCAGCTTTGCATCCTGCCCAGGGGAACCCCACATGTTCCAGTTCAATTTTCACATTTCAGAACATGTAGCTGCCATCACAATCAAGATAGGGTGCTGTTTCATTGTCACAAAAGCCATCCCTCATGCTACACTTTTATAATCATCCCCGCTCATTCACCTAAGTCCTAACCCATGACAACCATTGATCTGTTCTCCATCCCCAAAATGTTGTC